CTGGACCCCAGCCCCCACTTGACCCCATCACCTGGAGGCCTCTGGGTGGGAGCAGCCAGCTCAGCCTTGCGTGGCTGACGGGCCGGCCCACGTGGGTGTGGTTCCTTTGCTTACAGCTGGGCATGTACTGGTGCTGCCTGACCTGCTCCACACGAGAGCACATGAACCCCCAAAACAGTAGAGGCACACAGAGTGGGACCTGGTATCCCCCTGGCAGCTTGGACAGAGGAAGAGCTGGGCCCTGGAAAAAATGGGTGGAACCTTCCCATTCTCCAAGCGCCCAGGCAGGGCACATCCTCTGTGATTTTCACACTGAAAGCCTGTCCTCTGGGCGCTGCAGCTACGTTTCCTTCCCGCCAGATGTGCTCTGTTCCCACTTCTCCTTTTTGGTTCAGCCTCAGAGACTCGCTTTGTCAGCACTCACTTCGTTTCTAATTATAACAAAGTGGGAGAGCCTGGTGCTGGCGTAGCACCAGCCAGAGAGTGAGTGCTCTGTGCATAGCAGCTGTTACTGCTATAGTCTAGCCACTCCCCATTTGGGTCCATAACTAGTTTTCCTTACGTTTTGTATCTAAGATATTTTTATTAACTTCAGAGAGGAAGGGAGAGAGAGAGAGACATCCATGATGAGAGAGAATCATTGATCGGCTGCCTCCTGCGTGCCCCCTACTGGGGATTGTGCCCACAACCCAGGCATGTGCCCTTGTCTGGAATCGAACCCGGGACCTTTCAGTCCGAAGGCTGACGCTTTATCCACTGAGCCAAACCGATCAGGGCTAGTTGTCCTTTATTATGTTGCATTGGTACCTAATATATTTGTGGGTTTCAATTAGGGAGGTAGAGATAGAACCTTCAATGGTGAGAGAGAATCACTGATTCGCTGCCTCTTGCACGACCCCCACTGAGGATCGAACCTGCAACCCAAGCATATGCCCTGACCAGGAATCAAACCATGACCTCCTGGTTCATAGGCAGATGCTCAACCACTGAGCCACACCGGCCAGGCTAGGTTTTGTGTATTTTGGCCACCCCTCCTTCCACTCCCACTTCTAACAAGCAAGATGCCGTTGCATGAAGTATGGTGAATGATGGACAGGTGG